AAAAAAAAGAGGTATCATGAGTGAGAGCAACAGGTATTTCCGAATTATGTCTATGGGATCTGGATTCGAACTTAGGGCTGTATTTCAAGAGTTCTTCGGTGTACCAACTGAGGGCATACTCGAACTCTTGTTCTACTAAGCTCTGGACGTGATCGCAGTCAGATTCATCCAGGTCTGACCGTAATTTCAGTCAGATACATTCCTACTGTGAGTCTGCCCTGATCTATGCCTGTGAGCTCTTTCCTTTGCTTTGTTTCGAATGCAGCTCTCCGCCCTGCTGAGATGGCATGCAGTTTATTTTGTTTTATTTTTCTGTTGATATTTTTTTTCCTTCCTTTTTCTTTCGAAAGGGCCACGGCCTTGAGGTGTCATGATTGCACTTCCCTAGCCAAAACACCGAGAAAGTCAAGAAATAATCTTATGGCAGATGGACTCGAACTCCGGTCTGCATTTCAACATTTCTTGGGTGTACCAACCGAGGAACAACAGTCCGCCCTCCTCAGCTGGGAAGGCGGTTTTCACGGGAAACGACGAGGCATCCAAAAGCTTGCAGAGTGTGCCTAGTGTGGTGTGGCTCTCACACAGTGGCACTCTCTTTCAATTGTGGGCCCGCCAGCCCCACCCCCACCGGGCCTCCTCCATGCCTGATCACTGTAGATTTCGGTCTGGTACTTGTCGACAAAAAAAATGAACAGTACAGGGGGTGATGGACTGGTGGTTTAAATGCAGTCCAAGCATATCATGTTCCAGTCCCTCAGCGTTCAGGGCCACACAGGGTGGGGCACAAGTATGCGGATCATCCATATGATCCTGGTCAGCCATTTGCAAATCCCCCGTGTGGTCTATGCCTTGCGGGGTTAAATGCAGTCCGAGTTGATCATGTTCCAGGCCCTCAGCGTTCGGGGCCGCATGTTGTACAGCTGGGGGACAAACGAACATGGAAGGGGATAAAACATGGTGTTGTGGCTGTGTGCAAGCAGCTGGACTGTCTGCAGGAGGCATAGGAGCGGATGTATCCGTTTGGGACAACGGAACCGCAACAACCTGTGGAGGAGGCACGGAGAAAATTGGGGTAGACAAAGAAGCAGGCCGCTGATCCCTGGCCAAGTGGCGATGTTGTGCATGTCGTCGACGATGATACACAATAAGAGGAGTGGCGATGTTTCTAACAGAAGATGAGGATTTCACTGGCAATGAAGGCGGAACAATGGAGAATAGAAACCGAAGAATCGGTTCTCAAACGTGACCGTGGAGGAGATGGGGGTGGCGAGGAGGAACGCAGCCGTCTGCRGCCAAGCACAGAAAGGGATGAAAGGGGGGTGGATTGGGCAGGATGTCAAAACATAGGACGCGAGTGTCGGGCTGGGGTAGAGGAAGCTATACCAGTAAAAACTATAGCATGAGAAATTCGAGCTACAGAAGCAGAGGAAGTGGTAAAAAGTGGAACCGCAGCAGAGACAATTGTTGTAGCAGGAACCGCATTGGTAAAAAGTGGAACCGCAGCAGAGACAACTGTTGCAGCAGGAACCGCAGTGGTAAAAAGTGGAGCCGCAGCAGAGACAATTGTTGTAGCAGGAACCGCAGCAGAGGCAGCTTCCGGAGCGGGGACCGCAGCGGAGGTAACTTCCGTAGCAGAAACTGCTGGAGTGAAACCCGGAGTTGAAACAGCAGCAGTAGAAACTGCAGCAGTGGAGACCACAGCGGTGGAAGCGGCGGCGGTGGGAACCGCAACAGTGGGAACTGCATTAGCAGCAGATGAACAAGCAGTGACAGGACGAGAGCGATGTGGGGATAAAGAAGAAAGTGGGTGATGCAAGGACCATCGCAGCATGCGTCGGAACCACTGAGAGAGACGGGTGACGTGTGCAGGATAGCGACGTTGGCGGGAGCGTGTGTAGCAGGTCCATCCTTTAGCGAGGGTTGGTGGGGAATGGCCACGAGAAAGCATGCGACGAGTGAGTGTTGTCGCTGCAGTTCGGAAGTCCTGCCAATTATTGCAGATGCGTTCAAATCTGGTCAATTGCCCAGTGAACACACCGGCCGGTTGATGGGAAGGGATGTTGGAGGTAGCACTTGGATAGCGAATAACAGGGAAATCCCAAGCAGCCGCTTTATCAAACACACTCATGCGAAGCGAACCATCAGAACATACCCGTAGATGCATACCTAAAAAGGTACACGAGCCATCAGTAGCCGTAGTTTCCTTCCACTCRAGCCCATAGTGCTCTGAAGGAGGAGGTAATTGCCCTCATGAAAGAACATCATCAATGAGGCGATAAGTGAAGGCGTATCACTGAGCAGCTTGGGGATCATGTTGACGAATGTCATCAATAAAGCGTGCTTCATCCCAATAGAGCGTTAGATTGGAGATTTCTGGGCCAGCATTTGTTCCCATTGGAATACCAATGATTTGCTTTCGAAGAGTACCATCTCTAGTGTACAAAAAAGTGTTTTCTAAAACAAAGCGAAGATGTTGGAGAATCTAAGAAACGGAAAGGCTGTCTGGTCCTGAATCGGTTGTCCATTGGCCAGAGCGAGGCCCGCGAATAAACATGTTCAAGGCTCTGCAGCACGAATGCATGCGGGTATGCTGAAGGGCATAAGCCAACAAACGCCTTTTTGAAACTATCGTATAAGTATTATAGTCAAACAGACATATATATATATATATATATATATATATATGGGTTCAGCCTCCTGATGAGTCGGTGAAACTCCGACGAAACGGTTTGTCACAGCGGTCGTGCACTGTGACACATGTACTGTGGCCACACAGTGTGACATGTGCACTGGTGTGGGTGAGTAGTCTGCTTTGACTCTTGTCACAGGTACCCCGAGGGCAGTGCTTCGTGCTCACCTCAGGGTATCAGTTGTTGGGCAGCCGTTGATGCTTAACCACAACGGGGGTTAAGGTGGATTCTCACTTACATTGTAATCAGTTAGGGGATTCTGCAGACTACACGGTTAGGGCACAAGTCACACCCTTTGGGTAAGATCAAGGGTAGTACTTGGTCTGATAAGTTTAATATCTGAACCCAAAAAAGGGTGTATGCCATGCCAAACTTCAGCCAAAGGCAAACCCTTTCGTCGATTCAGCCCTGACTCCTCCCTCCCTCTGTCTGTCTGTTTGTCTGTCCATCGGTCGGTCAGTCGGTCTCTCTCTCTCTCTCTCTCTCTCTCTCTCTCTCTCTCTCTCTCTCTCTCTCTCTCTCTCTC